TCTTCTGGAGCCTTGATGCTATTTGGTTCAGTTTGGCTCGGTTCGAGCTTCAAATAAATTTTGAAGGTCAATATCGACCAAAATCCAACTTGAGAGGGGCGATCGTGTGAAGTACAAAACATGCAATTGTTGGCAATTTTCAAGGGCGACGGGGTTAGAGGTAGAGGGGTTTTGGTGTGGGAGGTTCAGGGAATCAGATGGTGTTGGAATCGGTTGATGGGCACGAAACGACAGTCACACGGTTGGTTATGGGAAGGTGAAAATTTGGTCGAAAAACTGTCGATAAGACTAGGTAAGTGTGTTATTGGGGTTTGGGTGGCTTTTCGGTCTATTCTGATGAAGAATCCAGTAAGAACCAACAACAATCAGCTAGTGGTGACGAGAAGATGGGAGTATTTTTTTTTTTTTTTTAATATATATAGGAGTATAATGATATAATTAACCTTTGACTTGTTTTGAATTTACTATTCTATCATTCTTCAGTTAATCTTAACAAACAAATATTAACGGAAAGTGAGTAATTGTCATTTTCAAACTTTCTGGATACGAAATTATTTTTAGGGCAAACTTCGAGTGATGTCGTTCGGCCATATTAAATTGTAATAGATTGATGACTATTAATTAGTGTTAACAATTAAAGTGATAATACGCAATAATATAACATATCAATAAGTTGATGTAATGTAACTAGTTGTTTTAAACATCAAAATTCATATTGATTATTAAAATTAGTATAAATACTTGACATAATTGCATAAATTTATTATAAACTTTTCTTAAAAATAGTATAAATAATTAAAAATTTGGAAAAAAAAATATATATCATGGACTATTAATAAAATTAGTATGAATAATTACTTTACCATTGAAAGTATGGATATATTCTCTAGCTTTTAAAACCATTATAAACTTTTCTTTAAATTGGTATACATAATTATGCATAGAATGGGTTTCTATTTTTTAACAGACTTTTCCTAAAATTAGTACAAATAATTACATGTAAACTCATCTAAAAAATAGAAATATTCTCTAGGTTTTCTTAAAATTGATATTAATAAATACGATATTTTAAAATTTAAAACTTTCTCTATCTTTTGAAACCCGGTATAATTTTCTTTTTCTAAAAATTGTTATAAATAACTAAATATAGAAATCTTATTTGAAAAATAGAAAACTCTTAAACTTTTGCAAATTTTAGAAAATTTTCATCAATTTTTCGTAATTGATAATAATTGTTTAAAAACTCTCCCTTAAATTTGTCAAATTCCTCTTTGTAAATTATGGGGGTCTATTGATACTTTAGCTATACCGTAAAAGAGTAAGTTATATTACAGAAAAGTAACCTTTCACTGAGATCATTATACCATAAGTTCAATTAATCTTTAGACTATGGTCTTAAGGATTTAAGCACGAGGGAACAATGTCTCGGTGCTGTAAATTAAACTAATCAAAATCTTATATTAAAAAGTTATTGAATTCATAAGTTACTGTAAGTTAACCTAATCAAGTGAGAGGTACCATTACCCCAATAATTCAAGTGAGAGGTAACAAAACTCCACACTGTATATTAACCTAATAAAACTTTTTTATTAAGAAGTTGTTGTCAAACCATAAAACAATAGGTCATGTAAGATATAACACTGTCTCGATTAGGGTTGTTCAAAAAAATGTAAAAACCGAACCGAAAACACGGTTCGGTTACGGTTCGAAAAATTCAAAAAACTGAATTTTTGGTTCGGTTACCGGTTCGGAAGAAATTAGAAACGGTTAACCGAAAACCCGTTTTCTAAACCGGTTTTTCAAATATATATATATTAAATAAATAAATAATAACCTAAACTAAAATAAATCTCTAATTCACTCAATCTAAAATCCCAACCCAAATTTTTTTTCTTAGTTCCCAATGTATTGTCTATATTTACAATTAAATTTAGGACAAAATTTTAAAAAAAAATTTATAAAAAAAAAAGGGAAAACCGGTTCAAAATCTATTAACCGCTTTTTTAAAAATGGTTAACCGGTTTTTCGGTTAACCGATAAACCAGTTTTCCCTAAAATCGGTTCATTTCAGTTCGGTTTAGAAAAGCCGGTTAACCGCTTTTGAACACCCCTAGTCTCGATAATGTAAGTTAACTTCATCAATATATATATATATAAAATAATCAGAGTGTCCGAATCAGCTTATGCGCACCTCGACTAATCCCGAGGTTCATTGAATATTCTACAAACTCAATGTTTTAAGATAAGTCATAAATGTGGTAGGTGACCCCAAAGTTCAAACTCAGAAAATCAATAAAGGGATAACACTATCTCGATGCTGTAAGTTAACTTCATCAATATATATAATGACCAGAGTGTCTGGACCAGCTTATACGCATTTCGACTAATCCTGAGGTTCATTGAATACTCTACAAATCCAATGTTCCAAGATAAATCATAAATGTGGTAGGTGACCCCAAAGTTCGAACTCAGAAAATCAATAAAAAGTGCAAACATTCTTGATCGGAAAACCATATGTTATATTAAAAAATGAGTAATGTTACAGCCATTGAAGGTTATACACCGAATGACGTGGTAAAATTCTAACCGTTGATTAATTTTAACTTAATATTAATCGACAGTCAAGATTTTATCATGTTATTCGGTGTATAATCTTCAGTGGCTGTATCCTTTCCGTTAAAAAATTGTTGGTAAACTACATTACATAATTAAGATAAGAGGTAACGTAACTCACTAATTTGATAAAAATGTTATTGAGGATAGGGTTGTGCACTTGTTTCAATCAATAATTGAGCTGTCAACAAGGAGATAATTGCCTTTGCCTAAAGTCTACAAATTTTGATGGATTTATTTTATGGGCCCATTGATGTGAGATCAGTTTCAACGAATATTAAATCATTCAACATTAGTCAAAAGTTTCCGTAACTTTTGTTTACTCTCACGAAAATATATATATATATTAGCTTCTCTCTCTCTCTCTCTCTCTCTCTCTCTCTCTCTATCTATATATATATATATTAACTCCTCTCTAGTAAATATATATCTAGTAATATTTTATATAAAAATAACATTTATATAGTCATAACAAATTTTGATTTTTGTTCAATTATAAATAAGAATAAATTTCATATTGTAATAAATTTTATATATATAAACTCCTATTTATAGTGATATTTTATTCAACAAATTTTAATTTATGAGAAAAACCCATGTGTTACCTTTTTTACTATTTGTATAAAAAATTTTAAAGGACAAGATTTATATATTAAAGTAAACCTTTTAGTCCCCATGTAATTGATCTTTACCCCCATAGTTAAGTACACCTCTTCTATAATTAAAAAACTATCTTTAAAACCCAAACCTATCTGATATTGAAAACAACCTTTTAAGCATAATTAACTTTATTTTCCCAATTTGAAAAGTTAATTAATTTTTTTTTTTTTTTTTTTTTTTTTACATCATTTTTCCCAAATCAAAATTAATTACATTGTATTTTCATTAAATAAACAAATATTTAAAATAAAACAAAAAGTTTCAATGATTATTAAAATTTAGATTTAAGATATGGAAATTTAGAGTCAATGGTTTTATGTAAGATTAAATATTAAAAATAAAAATAAATACATAAAATCGAACATGAATAACTAAAATCATTTTGTGGGTGGGGGGATGTTTAGAATTTTCTAATCTCTCGGGGAGTGGATAATAAAAACCCGTTTGAAGGTTGGCAGTAAGCTTACCTACTCCTTAAAAGTAAAAACAAAAAGACATAAAAGCCCATCCTTTGTTCCTCTTCACAATTGATTTGAATTAGAATAAGGCCACTAAGTTGAAAAAGATAAATTTATGAATCCATTGATTCTAAAGACATTTGAAAATATAAAAGTAAAAAGCTACAATCTTCCAAAATAAACCAGACAATATTTGGAAGCAAGAAACAACCCTAAACCTTATGAGAGCAAACACCACATATGAGTCCATGACCATTCTCATTTATTGAGTGAACACTCGTTAATTCATTATGTACCACATCAATTTATATATAATTTGGTATTTATATAACTCATAAATATAAAATTATTCAAAGAATATACTGATATGTTTCAAGAAAAGAGTGCTTCTAAAGTGCCTTTAGGGGAGAGGTGGTGAATGATGTTAACATGAATAAAGTTTGACAACTTTTCCTAAAATCTAGAAAAGTAACTTTAATGAAGTAAATAAAAGGTGAATGCCCTAAGTTAGATGCATGTTATCATAAAGAGAGGTATTTAGATACGGCGAACTCGTTTTGCAACTCCATTTTCGAAACTAGAGATAATCTAGATATCTTTTGACTCGCTTTGCAAACCCATATTTGAAACTAGAACCCCGCAAAACGAACCCAAATTCAAAACTAGAGATAATTTGGATATCTTCCGATCTTGTTTTTGCAAACCTGTATTCGAAACTACAGCTAGCTCTCAAAAAGCAGGTAATTATGGCATTTGACTACGCTGCCTACAAGGGATTTTCACTAAAAATCCTGTGGGAGCAAACCACAAGCTTGACCATTCAACTAACTTGATTAAAGTTGGTCATTATAATATGGTACCAAGAGTCAATAAAGAAGCAAACAATGTCTGGTCTAAATTTGTGGAATAGTTTGGGAAGATTTATTTAACTCTATCCTGACTGATTAATAAAATGGCAAACAAGATCCGTCTGCCTAAAGCTAAAGCCTTAAAAATTTTCTAGCAAATATGATAAAGATCATGCATGCTTCTTATGAAGGAAATAGGTCCGACAACTCCATACTCTGGAGTGATCAAAGCTAAAGTAAAAGATAGCTAATATTCACAAACATTATCACGAGTGTATGTTGTGTGTGTGAATTAAGTCTGTTATTACTTGTGTTGAATTATAAGCGCGTAACCAAACAAATCAAAGCACAAAGGATTTGAACTCTTTTAATCTTGAATCACAAAACAGATCACCCAAAACCGATAGACATTTCTGGGGTGTATTTGCTCATGAATCACAATGCATTCCAATAAAAATAAATCCAGGCATAAAAAACATCTCTAAACCCATTAAAGAAAATAAGTTGGCTGCAAAAGAATACAAAACCTCTTACAGCATAAGCCAGAATTCCACCAAGTTCCCAATCATTGACTAGACCTTTAAAATTATAAATAGGCATCCCATTTTCATGTTCTTGTGATACCTGCATAATTTCTTCAAGGATCTTTATCAAAATCTGATGTGTTTACTGGACAGTTCTGTGAATGATACCTGTGCAACGTCAAGCCACCTGAAAAAAAGAAAATATAAGACCAAACTGTATAATGCAAAAAAGCAACCAAAGCAAATTCCAAAGAAGACAGAATAGAGATATATGCACATTTGATCACAGTATGTAGGAGAGCTATCTGCAAGATTTGGGGAACTTCGAAGAGTTCTTCTGGTGGGAACACGAGCAGCGTCATTTCACTTTATTCTTTGGCCTCCAATTTACTGTTCAAACAAAAAGGTTAACCACGAAGGCCTGTGCAAGACAAAACCTGTCTATCAAAATGATTAAGGCGATCAACCATAAAAATATAAATCAAACTTTTGAGGATCTCACAAAGGTTATTATTTCGATGTGGGGTGTGAAGGAAGAAAAATTGTACAACAGGAACCGAAGTGGAAATAAGAGAACCCTGCAACGGCAAAAGTAGTGAGAAGAAGCTGACAACAAGAAGATGACGATGATGACAAGACAATAACGGTAAGTAGTTCCATAAAAAGCAGGCAAAAACATATGCAACATTATGAGAGAGCTGGGGCCTGGGTGGGCGTTCACTGGAAAGGCAAAGCGAGGGCAAAAACTTGCAGAAGGGTGCTTTATATAACATATTGGACAAAAAATAAATCATAAATAACAAAAAGATGGGCTTTGGGAAAGAAGAAATGTTCACATTAGGTTTTACCAAATGTGACAATAATTTCAGATTTTTATACAATGCAGCAACATGAAATTCAGAGTCAAGGATGTCAACTGAATCAGAAGAACATAATGAACTTGACATGAAATCTGTACATCCCCATCAGCAGGAAACGAATTTACAGATTAATTTAGTTGTCCAACCAAATAGGCGAAAGTAACCAGCCCCATCATTTGAGACACCACTTATCCCTCTGTATCAATGTCATCATCACCAGAAGACATCTGCCTAGGCTCGGACAATGAGAGTCGCCTGGGCTTTCCTGAGCCTGCTTCAACAAGCCTTTCCGGTGATAAAGTCGGTGAGCCCAAATAGCGCCGAGCAGAGGCATCAGCTGAAGATGATGCAGAGAGATTGTAGGTGAAAATTCCCATAGGGTGGTCAAACTTGCAACTTGGGCCAAACTTGCATATACCATAACGGGAATAGAAGATGCACAAAGGTTCTCCCTGTTGAAGTTTATAAAGCAGCTTCATCAATCTCATCAATGACTTATGACTTGAGAGAAAAAAAAAAAAATAAAAAATAAATAAGATGTATGAAATTAATCAAAGCAACACTAAGGAAAAGGGGGAGACATTGTTAACAGGCTAAAATTACAATTAGAGATGAAGTAACTTGCAGTTTTAATGGCATTACTCCTAACCTTCTCATTAGTTCTTAATAAATTGAATGCTGAAATGCATACACTTCATATGAGGTATCCTGCATACTATTTATGTATTTCTATTGGCAATAACAGTAATATAAAAGAGAAATCCTTGAACAAAGACTTCTCTAATGAATCAAGCAAGATAAACAAGTGAATGCAATCTATCTAGGCATCATAAGAGAGAGAAAGACGTTAATGGCTAAATTGGTTTGTGCAATTAGGTATTGAAGTGTCAAAAGTAACCTAATGTGAGAACTTTAATAACAACTGTGAAACCAACTATGACTAGTAAAACCAAATTTTGGCCAGACCGGTGATGACACAATTACAATACAAGCAGAGCAGTAAAGAAAATTGCTGGAAGCAGCACAGATTCCGCATATTTCTTATAGCACAAGAAACACTTGATACAAAAAAAAATGATTAAAGCGAATTTAAGGACAAAAAAAAAATGTTTTTATACAGAAGTAGTCAGAAGCAATTTCATTACAAAACCCCATGGAAGTCAAGTAATCACAAAACACTTAAAAAGTATTACACCAAGAGTACAGATTCACTTCCATATGTTAAACTAGAAAATGCCAAATTCAAAGATAAAACTAATCACTATTGTGACTTACCGGACGTAATGGAAGGCCTATGGGGCTCAATACACAGTCTGGAACAGGAAGTAGTCTTTCTCTTGGATGATGGAATCTACAAACTGCACCAAACTTACAATCCCCGGTCTTCATGTAAAACTGGCATTCAGGCTGGTCAGGTCTCTCAGGAAATACATTCTCCCTCTGCAATGCATAAAACCCTACAGGGACAGAACGAGAACGATATGGAGAAAATGCCCCTGGAGATGAAGTTGCTGGTTCACTCTGGCGTGAGGCACCATAAATTTGACTGTTTCCCACTGTTTGTTGTAGGTTCTCAGAAGAAGAAACTGACCCCAGCTGACCCTGAAAGAATGGAGATCCATGAGCATGTTTCCAACCTCTCAAATTACACAAGTTTTATTAAGCAAAAACACACATTACCAAAATTAAAAAAAATCATGTATATCAACAGCTATATTTCTACATATCAACCATGAAATAAGACAAAATCATTTAAAATCAACACAGGTCTTTTAAGAAACAAAAAAACACTATTTGCAGAATCTAAAAGTTATATATGCATGTCTTTTTGTTCTACAAAATACATGTGTTGTAACAACCGTTAGATAGTACAAGTTATGTCAGTAGTTCAGTTTAATTTAGAATTATTGGAGCACATTGAGGACCATGATTTGCGTAAGTGCTTCTAGTCATACCTCTCTCAACACATGTAAACAAGCATACTTAATGTATTCATAGCATTCAGTAAAAAGGAGGACAAACAGCTTACACTGTACGCATTCCAACCCGGAACTGAAACCATTCCCTGAGGTAAAATTAAAGGCGCATAACTTGAAGGCACTTGCCAGCGTGGGCTAGGAATAAAAGATGCTCTAGACCAGTTCGTAATTCCTCCGGGATAAGACTGCTGACCAGGAGTGGTCGGAGATTGAACAGTAGGATAAACAGGAGAGCCACGCAATGAAACCATCATGTTGGTTGGTTGAGGATGGTGGAATTTACAAGTGCCTCCAAATTTGCATTGTCCAGTTCTTAAATAATAAGCACACTCAACCTCATTCTGTAAAGTAACAAGGAAAAAAGCAAATAAATAAATAATATGATCTAACCTAAGAAAAACAAAAATATCAACAAATAAAATGTCAGAAAAAGACAAGGTAGAACTACAGGAAGTTAAAGACACATTAATGAAGTCCAATATGTTAATGGCCATAAAATCTGATACCTATAAATGATAATTCAACAAAAATCACTACTCACTCTAAGCAAAATCAAAAGGTTCTGCCTAGCCACTAATGAGGATAGTCACGTAAATGCATAGATGTATGATGCAATTCATGTTTCACAACTATTACAAAATTAGACCAGTAACCATAGATGGCACAAATTTTATGTTCAGTGTTGTACATGCTAAAAGCAGCTAATCAAATCATTCACATTGAGAAAGCAAAGAAAAAAGAAAAACCGAAAGATATCAGAATGTGACAAAGACAAGTTAGGCATTTATATCAAATTATGAAATTAAAATTCTACTTATTGAATTAAAGGAAAATAAAGACTCCAAACCGGGCGAAGTGGATAGCCCAAAACGTTTAAAGAGACTCTTCCAGCAATCCCAGCCTTGTCTCTAGGATGATGAAACTTGCATGTTGCTCCAAACTTGCAAGTTCCTGTCTTCAGGTAGTACTGAAAAGTAGTTCAAAGCAGAATATTAACTTGTCAATACAAGAGGTTCAAGAAATTATAAGTTCTCTTTTAGATACAACATACGGGCCATTAAAGAAATAAAAATCTTCCATCTAAATTTCTTTAAGATAGCAACTATGGGAAACAAGAGCAAAAGCAATTACAGATTTAAAGATTCACTAACGATTTCCCCTTAAACCAACTCCCACAACCGAAATGTGAGTAGGATTACAAACTAGAACCTTTTCAAAAATTATAAGAGACCTTACCAGATAAACTAAATGGTGTTTAATTTCCAAATTATCTAATCAAATAGAATTTCAAACTAAAATTTGAATACTATCCATAGAATCATCATATCAATAGAAACAAGTTTTAGCTGATAGGCGAGCACCTAACTATAGTATGTAAGCTCAAATACAGTGCAATGTGGAACCAAACATGAGCATAACAATGACAGTTCAATGGTCAAAAATCATATTCATACAAACCCTGCAAGGAGAACATCCTAAATTTCTGAGACTTAATAGGAAATTTCCATAGAAATTGTGAATTACGCAATCTGAGACATGATCAGGATGTATACAAGGCATCTCATCAATCGTCATCAAGTTAATGTGACATCAGTCAACTTTCTGGGTCAACTGTCGAGTACAATGAATTGATAACACTTGAAACTGCAGCTATAGTTTTTATAAAAACAATTAAGTTGAAACCCCCAGTAGCTGTTTTCATTTTCCCAAGTAAATACCCTATTCACTACTAGAGGCACCTCGCATCAAAGAGGGAGCATATGACTCTTATAATACCTAAAGGTTCTTAGTATTAATATTTCTTCTATTCTTTACTATTTTCAGAAGAAATGAAGTAATGTAAAGCAAGAGATAAAAAATGCAGTGTTTTCATTCAGATAAAAGGAGAACAATTACATGCCTGGCATTCTGGTTGTCCTATTCTTTCTGGGAACTCTCCTTTAATCCTTGCAGTAGCAATCGCCTGGAATTCAAAAAAACCTTGGTGAATATATTGAATCCCAAAAGGCAAAAATTGTGTCATGGTACAATCCATGAACCATGATGTTCAAATTTTTAGCAGGATAGTCAACTTGGAAAAAAAGAAAAGAATATCGATGATAATGTGCAGGTCGGTATGCGTATGTGCCTACATGTGTACTAAATAATGAGTCTCTAAATTAATTTTATGAGAATATTTTTTATTAAGTACCCCATAGTGCAAAAATTTATGTGACTAGCCATTTAACCATCTTCAATGATAATACATCGGCAGAAGAAGAAAAGGCTTCAAAACTAAGAACCTCACTGGAAATATATTAATATTATCTCATTTGTCTATAATTTACTCTTTGAGTTCTTAAGAATTGTCCAAACATGGTGCAGCTTATACCAGCTTCCGGTTAGGAGGATGATTAAATCGACATGTTGCCCCAAATCTACAAAGGCCTGTTCTGATGTAGTAAGAACAATCTGGCTCTCCGGGACGCTCAGGATAGGATCCAGATTCCATTGCTTCATTTGTTCTCAAGTTCATTTGCCACATAGCATCTAAAAGAACATTAAAGGAGTAGAATCAAAACATCTTGACAAATCCGTTCCAAACAACAATCGAGTTATATAATTTCAGGTTTCAATTCCTCCACCAATTTTATTCCAGAAACATAAAAAGCCCACAATTCATCTCAGGGTAGCGTATCTTCAATTGAAATATACTTGGTAATCACAAAGGGAAGTCCCCAAAAGGCAAAACAAATTTGAAAAATCGCAAAAAATAAATGAAGCATAAAGGTCGGTAGTATGATCCCCTAGAGAAGTGAGAGTTCCAAACATTTATGCATACGTTCAAAATTGCTTGTGTAGAAAAAAAGAAAGAGGGAAACATATTAATTGCAATGCCCTGGAAAAAAAGCCTTTCAAAAGAACTTTTTCTAATACTTTCCTAGATCCAAAATACACCAAGCTTAACTTCTTGTTTCTACCTTCATTGACTAACATATGGCATCATACAAAGAATCTTTTATTTCTCCTTCCAGTAATACGTAAATAGAACTGATATATATACCCTAAAACGCAATTCCAGAAAACAAATAAGACCTAACTCCGGAATTTGTACACATTGAACATATTAAATTTAATCAAGTAGCAAAACACTGAAAAAAAAAAAAAAAGGAACTAAAGTCAAAGTTACATAGCTCAATACTAAATCAATCCAAAAGCACAACCACTGTAGAAGAATCCATCACAATAAAACAGTCAACAACAAATTTGTTCACGATGGATGAAAGAATATCCTTAATTCTTCATAACTTCCAAAACTCTTCAACCATTTATCTTAAAAGCATGCAAATTCCTCGTTTCTAATTCCACAAGCACCATGCAATGGAAAAATCTCACACACTTCCTCTTCCTCATTTTCTTCACATAACTTTACCATAAATAATTTAATGAATAAAAATAAAAAATAAAAATAAAAAAAACAAATATTTCATCAAATTTAAGCTTGCAAGCGAAATTAAAATACAAGTTTCATTCACAAAATGAAATGAAACAAACCAAATTTGACTTGCATATAAACATTACATTAAAAATATAATAGTAAAACAAATTCAGCCGATGATCAATATGTACAAATCACAACACATCAGAAGGACAAAACAGACAATTCACAACATCAAACAACCGCTAAGACCTGAAAATGAACCATCATCACCAATTAAAAAAAAAAACTGCAACAACAACCAAAAAAAAAAAGTAAAAAAAAAAAGTCAATTCGTATTTTAAACAAACAAACCTTGGTTCAACGACGGCGACAGTGACGGCCCCTCTGTCACACCACCACCGCCACGGGACATCGGAATTCCGGTTTCAAACTCCATTTTTCATCCATCACCACCACACTCCCTCTCCACTCCTCTCCACCACCGTCACCTCCATTCCCCCTCTTCCTCCTCCTTCCGCCACACCACTTGTCGTCGCTCTATAATCGAAGGCACCACAAAATCAGATACGGAAGGATGGATGGTTGAGACAAAGTAGTAGAGAGAATAAATTATGATAGCACGAGTAGAGCACGAATACAGCAACCACAACAAACAACAGCAGGAAAAAAGAATGAATTACTGTTATTATTGTTGTGTGAAGTGAATTTTGATGATGTCAATTTTATTTGATTGTTTTGATTTTGTTTGATGATGCGAGAGAGAAAGAAAGAAAGAAAAAAAGGAAGAAAAAAAAAAAAAGAAGAAAGAAAGTAGAAGAGAGAGAGAGCGCGTTCTCTTCTCCTCTCCACAGAAACTGAAAAATAAAAATAAAAAGAATAAAAACCAACCAACCATGAACCATCCATCCAAACCAGACATCACCCTTTTCTCACCCGCGTTTTGCACTAAACCGACGACGCTACTGTCTTCCCAATCGCGAGAGTGGTTCGAATTCTGTACTCGCTTCCATTGGTTTCCACGTGTTATTCTATCTGATTTGTTGGGGAAGTACAGTATGCGTTCAGTTATTGATTGTGTGGTGTGTATGATGACGTGGCAATCTCTCATTGGTTGTTACTTGTCTATAAATTTAGGCTTATTACCTTACCTCCCCTAAGGTTTAGGAAAAGATCAACAAGACCTAAAACAGTTTATCCTATTTTAAAAATAATACTTGTATACAAAGAATTATGGGCAGACGTTAGTTTTGTTATTTTTGATAGGATTTTGGAAATAATACTAGGTAGTTGAATAGAATGAGTATTACGAGGTAAAATTTAAAAATTAAAAGTCCCACAGGTTTGCTAATTTAACTAAGGGAGAACGACTTATACATACCCAAGGTTTATTGAAACGATAAGTTGGTACCCAAAAGGTTTTGAAACGATAAATAGGTACCTTCCGTCATGTTCTGTTAGTGATTTCTATTTATTAATAGTGAAAAGACTAAAATACCCTTGACAATTTATTATTTTAGATTTTTATAAATTTAAAAATTTTCAAAAAACCCCCTAAGTTTGCTAATTTAACCAAACACCCCTATATATAAAAAGTTTGATAAATAACAAAAACACCTCCACCACCCGCAGTGCCAGATTCCGGCCACCACCGCAGGACTCTGGCGGAAAAATTGTGTTACGATACAGACCCATCGGATCTGTGTCTTAACGTGTCGATCTAACCTTTTTTGGCCAGATCCGTGGCTGATCTGGCTGGAAACGGCCAAATCTGGCAGTCGATGCCGCAAATGGAGTTTTGCGGCACAAATAGTATTTCTTAAAATATAATAGTATTTCTCAAATAATTAAACAAATAGATATTTTAGGAATAGGATAGGTAATAGGGTTTGAAATAATAAAAAAAGGGACCATGCATTTTGCACATTAATCAAGTCAAGATGCAAGTCAGTCTTCGCTCTCTTTATAACATTAATAAAGTCGGTAAAGAGTAAGTATAACTATGTAATAGGACTTCTTTTATTTTTTCCTCAAATATAATCATTTGTCGTAAGATGTCTCATCGAGCACTCGAATTTTCGTCAACCACGGGCACAAACACACGTAAAACGAATTTTAAACAAGCACAAATTGTGATTTAAAAATAACAATTTGCTTTATAGTATGATATGTTTCAACTTATATAAAGAAATCGACAGATTTACACCTGAAATTTAGTAAAATCTTAAATTGATACCTCTGATTACATTTAATCCAGATTTTCACTCTTAAAATAACATCGTTCCTTTTATTTTAACAGCTTCTCAGCTTTTCATTATAACGTTTGTGTACGTTAGTATGCTAAAGTGCATCAACGTTTTCTTTCGTAGAAGATGGGCTTCACATAAATAAAAAACGACTCACGTTAGTAGCATCCAAGCCAACAATTTTTAGCTTTTTTCAACCAATTTCAAAGTTCAAAATCACTTATGAGACTACTGTTGGACTCCTCACAATCTTCTCTACAAAATTTATACATTCACTTATTGACCTTATTCACCGTTTTTTACCACCTCTAACAGTCACTAATAATATCAATTTAAAAGTAAAAATTTATACAACCAACAGATTTCGTTAAATCTGGATGAGAATATGTTTTTTACTCACTTATATAATATATATGTTTCTCATAAACCTGATTTGCCCACGTGGCGTGTGTCTAACTTTCAACACACGTGTGTATATTGTATGATAGATTTCCCCATGTCTTGGTCTTTGAGTAGTATTATTTCAGCTAAAGGAGTAGTTAACCGGACACGTGGAGGATAAAGAGAGCGAGTAGAGGAACGTTTAGGCGAGAAAGCGGGAGTGAAGTCGAACCGGATACCAGAATCTCGGACCGCTTCTTAGAACTGCCTTTTTACTATTTCCAAGTGAATTTTTAATATGTTCCAGTAACTGCTCTTTTTTTTTTTTTTTTTTTTTCAAATTCTATTTAAATTGTAGATGAAAATGACATAAATCTCCTCTCAAGCTGACGACAATATTCTGATATATCTTTTTCAAATTTTTTATGGGTTTTCATTAAATTGAAATTTCTGCAAATTTTATTAAACATTATTTACAAATTTGTTGATAAAATTGAAGAAAAATAAAATGAGATAATACAATACAATACAATACAACAATAAAATAATCACTACATTTAAATTGAAGATGAAAACGACAATTTTCTGATAAATTTCACAAATTCTTTTAAGGATTTTAATTCATTTTAAATTTCTGTAAATTTTATAAAAGATTATATAAAGATTTTTATTATGTGTATATAAATTGATATAACAAAAAATTATTATATGTGTGATAAAATTAAAGAAAAAAAAAGAATGGATAATACGATAATAAAAAAATTCTTAAATATAAATTGTAGAATGATAAATTTTAAGAATTTGAAATAAATTTTACAAAATTTTGAAAATTATAACCCCACCTTTTTTTTTTTAATTTATGCATATTATCATGAGTAATATTTTATAGGCATTGTAGTATATATTGTGATATTATTATAGATTAATATAACAAAAAATAAGTAATACCTAACTATATTTTAGTGAGTGTAAATATCTATATTTTTTTTAATAGTTTCAAGTAGTGTTAAAAGTCAAAATTTCACAATTAATAATATCAAAAAAATTTAATAAAATTTATTATACCTTTTGGCATTTACCAACCTACCCCTCAACAATTTCACAATCTATAAATACATTTTAAAAAAAAAAATTATTTATTAAAGCTAGTTTTAATAATGAATCACTACTTGAGTTCAATTAATTATTGAAATATTGCTTATTTCTCTAATAACAAATAAAATTTAGAGAGACAAAGTGTTATGGATGAGTAGTATCACTTGACCATGTCACTTCATAAGGGTCAAAACTTGGGCCCTTTGAAATAATTATCATTGCTAGATGTGCACATTTTTCAAAATTTCTTTTTCCACCTTTAACGACTTGGGAATACTTTCAACTCTTGTTTTTCCGATACCAACTCATTATTTACTACTACTTTTTACTCTTTTTATTTTTTTATTTTTTCAAATAATGATCGGAGCGTCAGACTAGTTTTTTTCTCTTTTTTCATTTTCGCCCGTTTATGCATATCTTAATTAATCCTCTTAAGTTTTGGTATTATCGATCGGATATGAGTCCCAGTGATTACTCTCATTAGTGTCTATGAAGATTCAAATTCAAGAGCTTATGAAATTTCATTTTGCTCTTTTATCATTAAACCACCCAGTGATGGTTTGTCTCTATCAGTTTGCACACACCTATTTTATCTTTTATCTTTTGTATAATCATGAAGGCTCCGTTTGGTTCAAAATTTGGGGGGTTTGGGAAAAGTTTTTTGAAAAAAATTAAAAAAAAGTTGAATTGGGCGGATATTACGATGTAGGATTTATAAATTAATAAAATACCCTATATATTTATTTTTTTACAAAATACCCCTTANTTAATTATTGAAATATTGCTTATTTCTCTAATAACAAATAAAATTTAGAGAGACAAAGTGTTATGGATGAGCAGTATTACTTGACCATGTCACTTCATAAGGGTCAAAACTTGGGCCCTTTGAAATAATTATCATTGCTAGATGTGCACATTTTTCAAAATTTCTTTTTCAACCTTGGGAATCTTACTTTCAACTCTTGTTTTTCCGACTCCTCATCAACTCATTATTTACTTTTTTTTTTTTTTTTTTTTTTTTTTTTTTTTTTTTTTTTTTTTTTTTTTTTTTTTTTTTATTTTTTTTTTTTTTTTTTTTTTTTTTTTTTTACCAGTTTGTGCATACTTCAATTAATTCTCTTGAGTTTTAGTATTGTTGATCGGATATGAACCCTAGTGATTACTCTCATTAGTGTTTGGGAATATTTAAACTCAGAAACTTATGAAATCTCATTTTGCTCTTTTATCATTCGACCATCCAGTAATAGTTTGTTTAAATCAGTTTGCGCGTACCTATTTTATCTTTTATCCTTTGTACAATCATGAAATGTGACTAAAGCATGATGTTTATTGTTTTCCAATTTTGTATATGGACTTCTTACTCAAAATTATATTCTACCACAAATAACACAACGGTAACATTGCAACATTATTAACCACCTTTGGATATCCAACCTTTGGATCAAAGATCTAAAGCTGAGTAGCCTTATCCACCATTACAATAACATAATCCAAATTCTACAATTATATTGTTTACTACAAAATGGTTCGCCGTAAAGATATATATATATATAAAAAAAAAAAAAAAAAAAAGGGTTAAAGACATGAGCTCTCCTAGGTTTTCACAATAACAAAGATTTTTCCATTGTTAATAAATAATTAATGAACTGTTATAACTTACACTATTATAAGTTAATGAATATTTATTTAATTATCCTCAAGCCGTTAATTTTAACATATAAAAACTTGTTGGTAAGGGGATATTTGTTATTTTAAAAATTTTATGGGAGTTTTTAAAATTCAAACAAA